TTAGCCGAACAAGTAGCTAGTTTAAAGTTCGCAGGGACTCTTGTTTCCTGCTAGCTGGCTAACATTCTCCTGTGAGAAAACTAGCAACATTTTCCCAGTAATGCATTCACTGCAGTCTCCACGCTGGATGAAGCTGGACTGAACATTCAGGCTCGTATGGTGAAGTTACGTAGGGAACGTAGCTGTGGGCGGATCTGCGGTAGCCAGTAGCTGGGCTAGGTGAGCTCCGCCGTTGTTAGCCAAGCAGGCTAGCAACGACGGATAGGAATATTCCAGCACGCACCGGTGTTTGGATTTCGAGCTACCAGACATGATTTAATGGAGACCACCCTACAAGTAAGGGCTTCTGGTCAGTCTCGGAATGTATTACAAATGCCCGTGTTTATACTTTAGTGAAATTACGTGAAAAGCTATGGTAGAAAGGGTGGATTTTCCACTGAATACAGATAGAGGAAGGAGGTCGACAGATTTGAAAAATATCTAACAATAATTTTGTTTTCTTCTGGCTTTTCCCGTTAAAATGCCATTCTGCTTGATGCAGAGTATATTTGTAAACTGTACTAAACCAGTTTTCCACATTAAATACGCCTTGCTTGGCTTTACTGTCCCGAGAATGTGTGACTACACCAAGACTAGGCTGTATGACAGTGACAGCCATCTTCAGCTAGCCACTTAACGTTAGCACAGGTGGAGCTGTGTATGCCTACAATGCTTTGTTTAAAAATTAGTTTAGTAATGTAGATTTCCCAGTGTGAGGAAGTCTTTTTAGCGGAAACAACAGGCTGTGTTGTGCAAAGTGGAATTTTTATATGGTGTGATTAAAGGTCTTAGCCCAGGTTGTGACAGGAGAAGGGAATGGGTTATGCTTCCTTCAGGGACTCCTACCAATTCTTGGACAAATTTAGCTTCCTTTTGTGCTTCTGATTAGAAGCAGGAAATAATGTTTGTTGAATAAAGCCAAAAGAAACATATTTCCTCTGATCTGCACTGACAGGCTGGGGAAAGGAAGTGCAGCATTTGTGTTATTTATTTAATTCATGTTTTCATCTTCTGTCTTTATTTAAAGAACACTATAATATAATAAAAAATGCAGGAATTAATAAGATAAATGACTATAGCAGGGTTTACATCAATAAATAGTAATAAGAGTTTCCAAAATACCCCTTTTTCGTGCAGTTTTTAATAGGTTTCAAAGACCAAATTTGGTATTGGAGGACAGTTAAAAGTACGTTATCATTTTTATTAGCTTTAAGAAATTTTTGCTTATGAATTAAAGTTTTCCTATTGTTCTTTTTTGGCCTTTTTATAGTAACACATTATCACAATTTAGAAAGCAACTATACTACCCTCAGTTTGTTAAAAATTAAATGACTTAAAATTATGGATAAAAGTTTGAGCATCAAACACATTTCAGATACAGAAGAAAATGTTGCTAAATAGGAATTACAAGGATTTTAAAGTGTAGCTACTTGTCACTTTGATAGGAATATAGTGTTTGTAGGGACATGAACAGGCTTTCTTTCATTCTACAGAAGCAAATTAGTTCTAAAAGTATTTTCCAGCAGGACCATTTGATTATGCATTGCATCTCTTATCTGGCTGTTGTTGCAGAATTTATTAAAGACTTGCAAATCCACAAATTCTCTCCTCATTTCTTTTGTATAACTTAAGTGACATTTCATTAATTGGATCAGTCCATTAGGAATGATTTTAATTAATGAATTGTTTATGGGAATTAAAAACCAAATAGTTTAGTTAATGTAGCTACTTAAAATAATTAGTGAAAATTTAAAGTGTATTATTTAGATCAGTTTCTGTAACTGTTCTTCAGACTGTTTGGAGGTTGTAGTGCAGGACAGAGGGCACTATAATTTGCCTCAGGTTTTATTATTAGATTGATTTTGAGGAGAGTAGGCGGGGGAGGAGGATTGTTGACACCATACTTCGCAATATATTCAAATACCTTTGAAAGCCTCGTGTTACGTAACAGAGGGTTGGGCAAGCAAAGATTGCAGGGGGTACGTAGGAGGCTACGTGCACATGCACACACACACATACATGCACGCTTTAACAGTAAGTGGCTCTCTCGTATTCTTGGATTTTGACAGCGTTTGTACACACAGAGCCGCAGCGAGACACGAGCCTTATTTTGGACATAGTGGGAAACTGGGAACGGACCGCGGATAACTTCATTTGATTTTTATTCAGCACAGCTGGTAAGACGCTTATGTTAGTCTTTGTGTTTTATACAGCCCTCATTTCAGAGGTGACAGTCGAACTGAGGATGTGAATTAATGTGTGAAGTGGAAATGTACAACGATATGCAGGCACACGCAGCCTACGGAGGCAGTGCAGTATCGCGAACGCAGCGTCGACTGGTTTATGTGTAAGTTCCAGTCAAGATTCCGTTCTAATAAACATGAATCCAAACCGCAGTCTGCGCTGGTTCATATGTGAGCAATAGTCATTACAGATGTTGCACTCAGGTGCTACATTTCGTTGCGACTCGCTGGTATTCTGTAGGAGCTATGTGTGCTGTTTACATCAGCGCTGGGCTATTAAAACCCCAGCCACGTGTTGGGAGCTGGGCACCATGTGGCAATTGTAAACACTGCTGCCTTGTGGGTCTGCATCTGCTCTAATAGTTTCTGTTTCTGACATCCAATTATGGCGGAAATCTACTGCTGAGCACATGCTTGTAAAAAGTTAGTTTTTGGGCTTAAGGAAACTACAACAGTTTACTCTTAAAGTCAGTAAAGTTTTATCTGTATAGCACCAAGTCAACAAACATCACCTCAAGGTACTTTACATATAGAGAAAAACCTAACAAATCGTATGGTGGACCAGGATCCAGTAGAGCCTATACCAGGCTTCTGTTTGTGCTGTTAGGAAGAGTAGTTAGGTCTTTGCATGGGCTTCCAAATGCCTGGTACATTGGTTATTAGTTCCAACCTCTTATCAGCTTAAATGTCAGTATTGCTATTAGAAAAGGTCAGGCTCTCACATCATAACCAGTGGACAGTTTAGGGTCATCAGCCTGTCATGCTCCTCCCACATCTTTTTGTGTGCAAGCATACACTAAACAGGGAGAGTGACAGGCAGCAGAGGCCGAGGGAATGGCTTTGTCAGACATGCTGTCTTTTGTTTCATACCCACTGAAACTCAGTGTAGTGCCTGCAGGTAACAAATTTGAATCCTATTTTTAACTATACATTTTAGCAGTGGTGTCCACCTAGTGTGTTTTTATAAGAAAAACTATAGTTGTTCCTAGGGTGGTAACTTGTGATTATTTTATAGCAGTTTGGCTTTGGATTAGTTTTCAGATGATTGATCGATCATTTATTCTGTGACAATGACAGAAATAGTGAAAATTGCCCACCATGGTTTTCTAAAGCCCAAAGTGATGGCTTGTTTGGTAACAGATAAAAACCCTAAGATATCCAGGTTTTTATCACAGAAAACAGGGAAAGACAACAGGTGCACACAAAGGACAAGCTGGAATTAGTTGAGGATTTTCACTATTAATTGTTTATCAAAATAGTTGATTTAATTTTTTTAATGATTAATCATTTCCACTCCAGCTGTTTCCCTTCGAATGATTAATTAAAGGCAACAGTGCACCAACTATTCATGAATCCCTACATCATGGGGTTCAACACTAGATTATAAAAAAAAGGGTCAGTGGATGTTAATGAACATTAGCTGCCAATAACTAATAATCGATATTTTCTTCTGTTTTCAGGACTATCTTTTCAGCATATAAATGTATTGATACCATCAAAACTCTTCAGTTTGAGCCAGGGTAATTTTAGTTAAGCAATTATGTGTCCATTATCAATAGTATAACCAAAATATGTTTGACACAGGATATCAAACACTTCTTCAACCCACATTTGGCCCTTTCACATCAGAATGCTTAAAATTCACCCTTTGTGTGTCACTTAACACAAAGTTACAACTGTAGTATCATACATCAATGATAAACCATAGAATTAGTCAAGATATTGTAAAATACACTTGCTAATAGAGTTTCTGACTTTGAGTTCATTAAGAGTTCACTGCATTAGTACACTGGAATTTCAATTACATTGTGAGCAGAACAGTTTAACCTAATTGTATTTCTTTAATTGGTCACTGAAATGTCAATGCAACAGCTCATTCTACCACCAGGTAAAATAAGAGCAAAACCTGTGGTTAAGAGGGCAAATAGTGGCAGCCAACATTTAATTATATGGCTAGAGGAATATTATAATGTTGCATGTAAGAATCATGTGTTCCCACATTTATAGTAAAGCTGAGTAGTGTCATAGCAGTATTAAACCCAGATTTGAAGCAATGATGTGCAGCCAGAAGGATAACATATATTAATGCTTTTAGACCAATATTCAACACAGATAATGAACCAACTTGTTGGATGCTGGAAATGTCACAGAAAAGTCCGTTTTTTATGGACACTCAAGGACATGCTCCAGGTGTGACAGTACACAAATCTATGTGTGTGTGTGTGTGTGTGTGTGTGTGTGTGTAAGAGAAGAGTGACAGCCTAGAGCTGAGACAAACAAGGTGCTTAAAAGCTCGGACTGGAGGTCAGCGGTCACTGATTGGGAGATGGTGGCTGTCTGTGTGGACCTTTCAGCTTAACTGTTCCTCTGATCTGTCCTCACCAAAACCTCACCTTCCTGACACCATCTCTCCCTTTGTCTCCCGTTCTTTCTCTCTCACACACACATGCAAACGCTCTACTATCGTCTCATTAATATCATTGCCATCTGCTCCATATGTAACAGCCCAATTAGAGAGATGCACTTTGACCCCACCTGTCCAAATTTAATTTGTAAGTCTACAGCCATCCCTGCTCACCACCCCTCCCTCTCACGTGCATACACGCACACATAATCACATCATGCTTATTGGCTGTCCAGACTTTGACCTTTTCATTGTTGTCTCTCTACAGGGCCTGAGCTGATTTGTCAGCCTTGTGTAG